TGTATATGAACGTCTAAATAAGGTTGAAGGAAAAATCGGCACAGTAATCGGTATCGGTATCAAAAATAAAAAAATACTATTATTTTTCTACCTTTTTGGAAATTAGCCATTAACTTCTCTTATAAGTTCAAATATATTATGTATTAATATATAAATGTATTATTTTTAAAGACGCTCGAACTATGATGAAAGATAAAATATTGCGCTCATTTTGAATCGGTATGGCTTATAAATGTATATTTAGAACCCCGTTTCAAATTACGATTTACAGGCGCCAAAGGGTACACAAGTATAATATCCATAAATCTCCGATAATTTGATGTCCCATATTTAAAGCCAGTGCTAGGCGAAAGTAGTCTAACGACGGGATTCTATTACAAATACTGCCTCTAAGTCTATTTTAGTATCATTTATAATTTATTAATAGAAATAATTTTGCTTCTTGTCGCTATTACACCGATTACGTATTTTGTTTTCATTTTTAAATTGTTATTGATATATTATTAAAATTGCGTAACAAGTTATAATTCAATTTATATTTTTAGCGTTATTCTCTGCCCTAATTAAGATAATTTTTTTTATCAACATTGTATAGGTAAATATACAACAGTCATCCTTATCAACATAAGTTTTGTTAATAATGCATAAAATAAGGAAAATTTTGTAATTCGAAAATGGAATACGAGGCCAGGGAAGTTGATTAATATATGAGTGTGTCATAAAATAAGCATTTACGTTAATATTGAAGTCTGAGTTCTAAAAAAAGTTAAATAAAATTAAACATCTATAAACTTTGAACAAACGTTATGTTTAAAATAAAACTTCAAATCAATGAAAACAATGTCCCAATGTTAGTATAATAATTATGAATAAATTCTGGGAAAGTAAGTTCCATTCAACGTTAAAACGGGAAAATATTTAACTTTAAACATAAACTAATGACCAATACAGCTTGAGCAATCTTGTATATTTTTGAACCTAATATGACGAGTGGGATTGCCCGCAAACCAGACAATGGGTCTATACGTTATTGCATGGACACTGACGTTAATATCTGGACATATATTGAGCCATGTAAGAAAATTTAATTCTACTTCAATGTATCACGCAATACAAGTCTAGCGGTTTATGATGACAGAATGACTGTTTAAAAATGACTTTTTTATGAAATATTTTTAAATTTAAACATGTATAGAATGAACGAAATAAACATTCACATACGAATTTCCCGCGGATAAAATCAATCAAGGCAATATATATATTTTTGTAGTTTGGCACTATTCAAAATAAAATATGGTGCACACATTAAAAGGGATTTATAACTTTACATGTAGAGTTTCTTAGTATTCCTGCCATTTTAAATATGTAAAAGGCAAAGACAACCACATCGGGCGGCCATCAACTACTACATTTAATTGCAAAATGACAAAGTAAATATTAAGTTGGCAGCCAATGGACTCACCGTCGAGAATGCAGACCGTGGGTAGGATGCGAAGTAGGAAAGCCAAGCCGTGCGTCCAACAGGAAAGTGAAATATATATTAGTGATAGCAACACGAATCCAGTTTATATACATTATGTTGCTGAATAGCCGTCTGTACTGTTGGAACGTAGTACACGGTTGATTTTCCCCGACTACATGTGTGTGCGGGGCGAGTTTCACGCTCGCGGCGCTGTGTGCGTGAACCATGGCAGACTTCTTGGCAACGCGCGCGATTGCAACTGTTAGGGCGCGTTCATATTTGAAATTAAAACGAATGTCGAACAAAAACAATGGAATGCGACATTTCACACGGTACGCGTTTTGTGAATTAACACCGTCGAAATAATTCAATGGAATATTAATTTATGTTTATGTGAATTCAATTTAGTGACCTTGTGATGAAAAGAAAAAGTAGAATGACATTACGATAGTGAGCCGTAAACATTTTCTTTTTTTTTTTTCGAATTAAAACATCGAGCGCATTAAAATAAAGGTCCTTCTACACACGCCCTACCGTTTAACGAGAAAGCTCGTGTGTGGCAACAGCATAGCGTCTTGCTCAGACTAGTTGACGCCTTACAGAGTAAGCGTTGGGACAATGTATATTTATTGCATATCGCCGAGAGCCACGCTTGTGGACGTGATGACATTTCATGTTTATGGTGGGAAACGTTGAATGAACCATAATCAGAGGCCAATTGAGAGCGGCCCTGGAATTTGTGTCGCCATAATTGCGATGGCTTGAGGTTTAATTTGTTTTTTATGATTAGCTTTTATTCTCTCCCAGCAACAAATTCATATTTTAAAATAATATTAAGCAATATTAATAGAATAATACTACCGTTAGTTTTAAAAAATATGTGGGCAAAGTTATAAATACTATTTCAATATTTATACGGAGGTATTGTTATATCAGAACGCTAGTCTTTTATCGAATACTTAGTTATTGTTTAACCAGGAATATAATTTAACGGTTTATTTTTAAAAAGTTAATGTAGCAGCATTAACAATTAATTGTGATATATATTTTTCTAAATAAATTATTATAAGCAAGGAGTTAATAGTAAGTATACAAGTATTTAATTAAAATATATATATTTCCCTTTTACTGTGATCTAATTAGAAATGACTTACATTGTATTTGTTTATGAATTAGATACAGAGTATTCGTGACGTTCTTTATTCAAAGTTAAAATCAATAGTAAGTTAGTCAATAGTTCTTTTCAACACGTTCTAATAATTATGTTTATATGCAATGACATTACTAACGATATTTATAATTGAAGAGTGTTAAATGGCTTCAATCACGTCGATTTGTGTACTTTGATTCCACTTATACTTTCCGAGTGAAACAATAAACTAATCGTTATAATGAGCAACAAGTACACATTTACTAACAAAAAAACAAAACTTCTTCAAATGTCATACTCACCATACATTCTCTGTTGTTTCCTCGAAGTACAAGGTTCAATACGAATGAAATTAATATGAGTCTACATAAATGAGTACCAAACATTACATAAAAACATACAACCGAATTGAGAACCTCCGCCTTTTTGAAAAAGGAACTAAAATAAAAATCGACAGTCGATTTGAAAAAGGTCAACAAAATAGGATAGATGAAACGACAATAAAAATAAAAATGGAGCAAAACGCAACATTTCCCGAAGGATTACAAGTATTTGATCGCAAAGGCTTAATGGACCGTTCACAAATTGAGCGTATGTTATGTAACTAACTGATCGTCAGTATTTGACGTGCGGGGGTCGATGACACGATAATTAGACGATTGAGATTATAACGAGGAATATTTGGTGGACGGGCGCCGTCCGTACGAGACTTGGCACTGGTTTCGGTGTAAAATTAAATCTCGCCGATGTGTCCCCGCGCTTCTGACTTCTGAAGCGAGACGTGCAACATTGTATGTCCTTTGACGGTTATTTCGAAAAACAAACGCCCGCGAAACGCTTTACACTATATTTGTTCAGCCTTTGTCGGTGCAGTGTTCACGGAATGTCGAAATATATGACTTAACGCGTGTTTATCATTTCCTCTTTTGATACACAATTCAATGTTCAACTCTCTGACAAGTTCAAATAGCAATTGAAAAACACTAATATGTTGTGACGACAAGCAAGAAATTAAAAAAAAAACATATTAAATCTTCGGCTTTTAAACAGCCGAAAACTGAGACGAAAACCTCATACGTTGAAATCCCTCGGAAGGTTGATGCTGTAGAGCGCGCCAAAGAATTAAACATACATACATTCATATATACGATCGTAAAATATTATCTTCCTTCGGGTAAAAATAATACCTATTTCATTTACAAAACAATAACAAAAAAATGTTTATATAACTGTGTGAAAATATATTCGTGTAAAGTATTCAAATAGTAAAAACCTCCGTTTAATTCCAATCAATTTTAAATATAGATAAAACTATTTTACCCACATTTGTTTTCAAAATAAACTAAATTTTAATCAAAATAGCGATAGTTTAGGTCATAATAAGTAGAAAAAGTGTAGCCCGGACTGCACTCATTGGGTGTATTCGATAAACATAGTGGCCTTCTTCGTCGTTCGGATACACGCAGTCGAGTTCCGAAAGAGGACAGATATTGTACAGATTAAAAAAAACGCAACTGCACCTCTCTCAACTGCTTGCCGCACAGCTCGCGTGGTTTGGTGAATTAATTATCGGCTACACGAAAAATGTTGTAGCATTTCTAAAATAAATTATTTAAGTTGTACAACGCTTCCATTAGCCACCTGTTACTAGACAGGCTGTCTTCAAAACCCGTTTTTAATTCTGAAATCTTAACGTTCCACAAGAATCTGCTATTTTTTTTCGAATGCTGTAACGTATCGGTTTCTTCTTAAGACTAAATAAGACTCCAAAATTATGGCACATTGACGTTGTTAATGTTAAGTGAGCTGGTATCAATATTGTATCTATTTTACGTCAAAATTCTACATTCAGTAACCAGATCTACAGATAGATAGAATATTGAAACGAGTCTTTAAAAAACGAATGTCTCTGCGAAGTATTCGGCGCCTAGTTCGATTTCTGAACATTTCTAATTTGGAATCGAGTAGCATCGCGCTAAGTTTCTTGGGATGAACAGACATAAGCTCACTCGTAACTCGATTCCGAGTCACGGCTGAGGGGACTGTCAGTGGCCGTTTTGGGTGCGACGCCACTGGGTCTTGGAGTATTGATGCGAAACCATCATACTCTAGATTAAGGTTTTCGTTTCATTATTTAAGTTCAGCAGAATATAGTTTGGGGAGGGGGGGGGGGGGGGGGGGGGGGGGGGGGGGTCCTGCAGTTGTCCTCTAAGACTGAACGCGAAAAGTTTGTCTATAAAGGTAGGATTCGATGATAAGTGTCTGAATCTCCAATCGGCGTATACGTAAACTACATTTCAATTAACTAGTACGTTAATACGGGGCATACACTTTCTTGTCCAACCCAATATTGCGTTCGTTCTTCTCAGAATTTCTCTAACAGAAACAATGCTCGGGAAACGCGTCACATCTTCAACCGAACAGGTGCGTAGACTTGACGCAGTCTCCGCAGAAGGTGATCCTACGTCAAAACATCTTCAAAATATCACGGAGCGAAACAGGTCTCTCCGGTCTTTGTCATTCTCATTTTAAAAGCTATATAAGTAGTCCGTATACTAGAAGGGCCTGTGACGACGAAGCCTTACTTAGCTGCCAAGGCGAAAACATCAAACACCATAATAAAGATGACTCTTAAAATACGTCTAGAAATGAGCTATAGAAATTTTAGTACATTTCACGGGGAGTCCGAAGAAGACTGACGTCATGTGGAAGTCTTTTGGAGTATTCGGGGACTTTAGTAAACGGAGGGCCTATTCAAAGAGTGGTCATCATCTGAATGCCTTCAGATTATGCGTACACTCGCCATTGTGTGGTATCGCTTTCATGTTCGTCTGCCCGGGCGATCACAGCGATTCGCCAGAATAACTTTCAACGTAGCACCAGTATCAGGGACATTGGTCAATATATCAGAGCCGGCGAATGTTTTGCAACGGCGCCAATCTGCTCGGCAAACCTGTCACTTTAGTTAATTCGCAAAGTTGTTGCGAAATGTATACACCAGTTAAGCATTGCGTTGGAGGGGAGGTCCACTGTACATTTCTCTCCCTACCGACTGAGAGAACTCCAGAGCTCGGGACTGGTCTGAGTCATGTTCAATCGATATTTAGATTGATGAATCACTGTTATGTCAGCTTCTTACACTAGAACATCCGTCCAAATATATTTTCCAATACCGTCAATACCGTATCTCAAACCGCGTCGTGTTTTGACGCGAATAAAGACATAGGCGGGCGGAGTTAATAAATTGAACCGAATTCAAACCACTCGAAACGATGGCGTCTTTAGATCTCGAGTGCACCAACGTACCGTATGATTCACGCGCGGGGAGATGTTTTAATGTATTTATTTGCAGTGTTGCTCGAAAACTGTGTAACGAATGCCCGCTGATTTCGAGGAGGTCAATCGGCGGACAGCCCGCCGCTCGAGTGCTGCGAAGCGCCGAGCACGCGTCGCCATTAATTCAGCGCCTCAACGGACCCGCGTCCGCGTGCGCTGCGCCGACCACGGTACGCGCCAAACGGATTGCGCACATTAACAACGTTCAAAATCATAAATTTCGACTTACTCGGAAATGAAAGACGAATGTAAAACCTTTGTTGTTCCTCTTTTTCTCCCTCCGGCCAGTTGTAATTTTATATCAGTGCGTGCAGAAAGAAGCCCGTAGTCGGGTTGGTTTCTTTTTTAATCCATTTTACTGTTGCCGTTAAGTTTTACAGTTACAAATAATATATGAACGTGTATTCACAATCAAAATGTTTATAACACTTATGCTGGGAAGCATTTCAACTTAAAGTTTGGAGAAAATATTTGTTTTCCGTAAAATAAAGCTAATAGGCGGTACGCCAGATTAAATGTGCTTTGTTACTGGACATCGAGAAGCCTGTGACGTTACAGTTAAATAATAATGAAACCCTTTTTTATGAACAATTAGTTGCATTATGTTATTAAAATTTATCATTTAACAGAATGCCCGTTGGCAAAGGCCCCCTCTCCAAGACTCCAGCTCCTCCATTGGTGGCCCGCGCCATGTTCCTTCTCCCATCTCCATGTTTTTTGCTTCGACGTTGTTAAGGCAACGGTAACCTCACTCACTGTGAAATGTAGGAGCATAAATACTTTTTCTTTACATCTTCTTTAAGATCGTGGTACGTCTCCAGAAGAGTCGGTCCGTGCAGAACCAGAACCTGCGGGACTCTACTACATACATAGAGTTGGCTTATGTTCAATTATCCAATGAAATCCACTTTAAAGGCAATGCTTTTCCAACACTACGGGTGCTGCACATATCTATGGACGGCGGTTATCGCCCAGCTCAGATCAGATCAATCGCAAGCTCACTTGCCACCTTCTCACATAAAAATATTCGATAAGACTTCGGACTCGAACGCAAAAAGACAAGAGCACGAAACCGGCACAATTTTATGTTCAATACGAAGATTTCGCAACAGCCGTGCCACGTGCTCAAAAATCAGATGTCACCCGATTGGATTCGGGCGTCGTATTGCGAAATGTCACCAGCTCCAACTACGTCGGGTTTGACCAAGAGAGTCGTTTATGGTGTTGTGTTACCTCGTGCACCCGCGCTCACGCGGTTGCCAGTTGGGTAGGTCAAATGTCAACACACTTGGGGTGGGGCCACAGTGTCTAAACGGCGGGGGAGTTAGCAGCGAGTTCAGTGACGGAAAACAAAATACCTGTCATTAGAATTTCGACTAACTAATAAAAGGATGGTAAATACTACAAAACATTTCAATAAACGAAATAAGTCGGAATTATGATCTCCAGATCTACGAAAATTTATAAATAGACACTAGAGTTCGTTAATTAATTTATTGTCTTTGTATATTATAATCTCATGTTTTGTTGTCGGTACGTCATAACTTCCATATTTCTATATCAAATTTTATGATTCAAACAGCATTTAAAGTTCATGTTTGTCGCTATTGACGAAAAATTTGCAAATAGAATAGTTTTAATAAAAAAACTTTCATTTAAAATCTTCTTATATACAATGTATGATAGTGCCATCTGTTGACAATTTGTCAACAGTTTGCAAATAAAATATAGGGAATTAGACTGAATTTTACCGTTATTCTTCAAATTAAGATACATCTTTCTATGATTGATAACTGTACTGTGAACGAAAATATCTCATGGGTCAAGTAGTTTAGTTAAACATAAAATATTTTGGTGATAATTCATTTTTATACATACATTGTATTCCGTCTGCGACTGCATTTGTGTTGAGATTAATGAGACTTTTGACAAAAACTATTCTCTTACATGAGCTTGGTGAAAATTTTGCTTCTAAATACTAACAAGTCAGTTAATATTGTCTGTCTCTTTTAGTTACATAACTGTCTAAAAGAGATAGAAATTTTGACAGACTATTTTCATTATTACCTATGAAATTTTATTTCACCGTTTCCGCTCTCCGCTCGCCGCTGAAACTTAACTTAGATGACATAGCCGTCGCTTCCGCGTAATCATATCGGTTCGGAGTTGGTTTACAAATGCCTCATGTATGACAGACTAGGATACGTGTGGCGACACAAGTCTGACGTTGTTGCCAAATGAGCTTTATATCCACGCCAATATGAACTAAAATTGAATAATATGGCGAAAGTGTCATGTCGAAACCTTCGCGGCGCGCTGTATTTACTCTAAAGCAGTACGTTAATGCTTTTGGGAATACAGTGTTGCCGTTTTATTAACGGATCAATTAAGATTAGAAGAGACCAATGGAGATTGTGCCGATTTAATGTTTAAGCTCACTCAATCATTTGCATTGTTTAATTAATGCTATTATAATAAGGCTAAACAGAAGCTATAATATAAATCAAACATGTCCATAAACATAACCAAATAAATCAACAAATCAATCGTTGACTATATTACTCATTAAAAGAAAAAATAAACACCGAACTTTATGGCCACGGCTGGAGCAGAGACGATTAAAAAAAAAAAAAGAAAACGTCGCGTCAAATTCGATCGATTGTCCGTCTGGTCCGTTCGAAATTCAAAAGGTCCGAAACGTCCGCGCTCGTGGAGGCGACATTCGAGAAACACGATTCCGTGTTATTTATGGGGATATTAACTACGGAGATGATTCGGTATCGCCGGTGTCGGATAACCAACAGGTGTTCGGTCGTATTCAAATTATTAAAGCGTCTCGTAATTAATTTACAATCTTTGACATTTAATAAGGATTTAAATCGAACGCTCCTTTTTCAACACGTCTTTATCGAACTCACCTGTACATAGCCACATGTTTTATATTTAAATTCTATAGATTTTTATAGATATATTAATAGATTTTATAATCTATCGATATCTCCTTCGATCCAGACCATTCGGCTGATTTAAAATTCAGCACAAATATTAAATAGGCACATCTGTTTAACAGTTCCGATTAGAATCTATAATACGCGACAAAGATGATGTGTGGCGAAATTTTCGAAGTTGTAGCAAATTATGAAGCCGTAAATGTCAAATAACATATCTATTTTCTAAGATATATAAATATATATAATATAACCATATATAAACCAAATAAAAAAAATACGCAATCAATACAAATGTAATTAGAATTCAGAGAGTGTGGTTTTCAAATTGTTGTAGACGAAGTGTCAGTAGTGAAATAGTCTTTCGGCTTCCACTTCTTTTTAAGCGTTTGACTAATTCCGCAAGTTTTAGTTTTTTTTTATGTGAGGAGGTGGCAAACGGGCTAGCAGTTCTCCTAAGGTTAAGTGATAAACGCCGCCGATTGACATTTGCAACACCCGTTGCCAAATTTGCAAAGTGGGCCCCGGCTACCTCACACATCAGACGAAACGCAAAAGTATAATTAGTTTGTTATCTCTTTATCACGTCATAAAAATCGTTAATTTTACTTAAGCTACTCTTTAAACATTTCTAAACTAATACTTAACGTGATAGAGTCCGTACAAATGCGTTTTTTCAATAGAGACGTCCGATGAAGCACTCCAGAATAATTAAACGAAAATTACGCATATTGCAATGTTACTATTCCCCGTTTAAATGTGACGAGTTTTTAATATAATGGTTTTTAATATAATCGCTATAAATAATCGCAGAGCAATTGACTTCCTATTTGATTATATGTCAAGGCGAATACTTTCAACTTTGTCAGCGATTAATCAGGGCCTAATATGCTACTGCTGCAACGGGCTCCGTGCAATTTTCATCATTAAAATTACAACTATAAAATTTATAATGCCCTGCTGGCATCCGTTGCGACAATTTGTGTAGTAATATCCTTTGGCCCGTCTATTAAAGCATTTTCCCAGAGCTTTAATAAAGACTCTAGCGATAATTGCTAAGCTTTATGTACTCTACGTTAATTTTATACAATATTCAAATCACAAATATAATGAATAAATTATATTAAAAGTGATAAATGAGAAGTTTACAATATAAGTATCGAAGTACTGAACAACGAATTTCATGTAAAGTAACTTGTAATGATTTTCTTACGTTCACAAAATTGACATTCTGTGACAGTGTTGCGTTGATGTCTTTTACACGGTACCACCGTGACATTGAAAACGTAGTACTGAAAAATAGTAACCAATTGAAAATAGTTTAGTTAAGACTTGAGTTTGACACAACTTTAACTTGTTGCTGTTATTTATTCCAATACATACAAAATTTTTAAATAATTTAATTTTGACCATTAAACAATACACGATTAAAGACTTATATCGAATTTAATACGTACGTATGCTTTTAGATCGTAATAATTTATGAACTTGCTTTTTTTATTACAAATATAACTATTTAATTATTTTTATCTTTTTTAACTAGACATTAAACAGAACAAAAAACCGGCCAAGTGCGCACGAAGGGTTCTGTACCATTATCTACAAAAACGGCAAAAAGTCATGCCTGTTGTATGGGAGCCCCACTTAAATATTTTTTATTCTGTTTTTTAGTATTTGGGCTATATATCGGCAACATTAATACATCATGTGTGAAAAGTCCAACTGTCTAACTATTACAGTTCATGAGCTACAGCCTGGTGCCAGCACACAGACAGACAGACAGCAGAGTGTTAGTAGGGTCCCGTTTTAAATTTACGTATTTCGGTATGGAACCCTAAAAGTAAGACTCGAAGGAAATTGAATTAGTAGGGTTCATTTTTTATTTCATTTGTTGACGTCGACATTGGCCTGGGACTCTTTCGCTTCTCTGCCAACGTCTGTTGGTTCAACGAGACGCGCTAATTGGTAAAGCAATCAGACTTATGTCTCAGACGCCCCACATCGCGTGCGGTACATGACTCTGCTAACATCGAAGTTACAAAGTAAGTTTTCAATTTTGAAGTCCACATAAAATGCACGATAAATATATATACGCCAATGATTACGTAAAATAACATGCAATACCCCAGCTCTAGTGGTGCTGCACCTCTACCCTAGTCCAAGGTACCGGCTTTAATTCCGAGTCGAGTATTTCAAGTGACGTTGAAAGTTGTGACGTGAAGTCGCTTGAATTTGACCTTAACGTTTTAATTTAACTTCTCAATATCGTCGTTGGAGCAAATGATAGAAAAATTGTAATTTAGGGTCATTGACCATATTGAAAAAGCTGAGGGTTTGAATAAGTAAGCTTAAACCCTGTCTGATCATCACAGATGGTTCATGAATAATTTTAAGTTATAGCTTAAAACGGTAGATAAGTGAACTTGGGTAGTACAATTTGAAGGGCCGAAAAATCTAAGCTATCAAAATTTGTTCGCAATTTATAGGATGATACAAATATAAAAGAGAAAAAAGCTTAATAACTGCAATATTTTCTATACATAATGACTTTACACTTGTCGTTTCATAAACCAATTATAATTGTTTCGTTATTTAAAATTTAGCAAATTAATCATACAATCAAAATTCTATTATGTAACATTCTCATTAAATAAGTAGATACATGAATTTGAAACGGAAGTGATCATGAGAATGTTCAGTTTAGAATATAACTAAATAAGCCCACAGTTGTGAACCCCGCGACTCTACATTTGTTAGTTCCTTCGGCTATATTAGGCCAATGTTGCTAAGCTACGCCAAAGGGATGTCAAAGTTATCCATTATTATCTCTTTAGAAGGAAAGGGGATAAGATAAGATTTTAATTGGCCTTTAATTTTGTTAAATTTGATTAAACAATGACTGTTGTTCTAGCTGTAAGTTTTCCAAAAATATCTAAAATAAAAATAAAATAAATAAATAAGATCTGCGTGGCGTTAAGTTATCGTGGTTTTTATCATGCGAAATCCAAATGATTAAGTTAGGTGGGATTACAAGATATAAAACATAAGAAGTGATAAATATGTAACTTAGTATATATAATAATATTACCTAACAGCCATTTTGGATGCATCTTGCAATCATATCACGATAAACTACGTGACTAGTGACGAGTACAGTCCTGTCACTCAACTGAGCGGTAAGCATTAAAGTTCTAAAGATAAAGACGGATAGCGTTGGATTAGCAATAAAAATGGATTACAAATAAAAATTTGTAAGTAAACATCAAAATATTGAATCTCCGCGGTAATAAAGACAAAATAAAATTAGCTTTAACTGAAACTGCCTAATTTTATTACAAATTGATGTAGCAACACTGGTGATGTAAGACTAACACGATCCTGGATAGATAACGAAAGAAAACGATCGAATCGAGAGTACATTTAGCGCCAATGGCGATAAGTGCATCCAGCATCACCGCGGTCGATCCGCGTAAGCCGTTCACGATCAGATAAAAGCGGCGCAATCGACAGATAGACAAACATATTTATATATAACGCCGGTGCTTATGCAATAAATGTGCTTGATTTAAAAAAGGAGACAGCCGCTTGTAAGAAGCAGCCGCGTTATGTCACGGGTCGTGAAATAATCAAGGACGGAACAAAAAGCGCAGGCGAGTGGGTCGGGTGGCCAGAGCAGTGGTGGCCAATTGGCCTCGGCGCCCCCGGCCACGCGGCCAACTCGCCGCTGTACCATCGAGAATTGCTCTACTCACATTGTTAACAGGCCTCGAGCGTTGCACACAAAACACTTTCGCGCGTTCGTACTGGCGGCGGGTCGGAGCGTTATTGGCGAGACGGTCACTTCGTAAACGTCCGTGCGTACCGTACAGAGTGCGTTTAAACTTTGAGCCGCACGGCCGCCGGTTCAAGTATATATCGTGGGGCGGGAAACGCCGCCATTGGCCGAGCGGCGGCGCGCCCGCTTGACTCACGATGTACGTCACGCTTGCAGTGGAAAGCCTACTGTGTTGATTTTTTTTTTCACCTCTCCCCGGCACTGCCAAGTCGCCCATCTGTCACCTGTTGTCTACCAAAACTGAGCCGGCTCGCCGGGTTGGAACCGCAGCCGCGCGTCCGATTCTCTAATGGTAATCGTCTTAATTGTATCGCACGATGGAGGTTTTATGGCGTGCGATACTGATGCGAGGCTATTAAAAAAAATAAGGTCCGGTGGGAAGTTTACGCCGTGTGTCTGTCGTACATAATTAGTTGTTTGCTTCGGAGGCTCGTGGTGGACTGTTGTGTTTTATGTAACTTTAATTGGACTCGTTAAGTTAGTTTCCGTACGTGTAGGACTACTCCTATAGGAACGTTCACAAAGTAGGGTATATTGTTAAAGCGAACGAAGTAGATTTGAGAACAGTATGTTTACTAAGATCAATTCCAAAAAAATCATTGCAAATCGTCATTGAATTAATTCAGCTCTAACTATAACGTTTTATTAACATTAAGGAAATCTCGAACGTGAATAATTACGACACCACCAGTGTTGCAGGACGTATTTGAAATTTGCGAAACATAATATTTATATTTATTCCTAGTGGCAATGTTGCAAGCGTCTTATCATCTTGGACGCTATCTAGGCGGGTTACGATACATTGATATGGGGATTACGAGATTTGAATGAGATACAGAAGCCGTTAACAGATATGTGCAAGTTTGTAACAAGTTTCGTGGTTCTAATAATACAGACACATTGACTTGAGGGAACAAAACTCCAAACAGTTGAATAACTACTTATATTATTCATCTTCATCTTCATTACTATTGGCAATGCAACCAGAATTAGTCAATTTTCAATTTGATAATGCTGACAATGCCATTAAAATGAGCCTACCAATGAATAAACATAAATTTTCTCATCTGAATTTTTATAAATGCGTTTTTCAAAAGATAATGTTGGGTCCCATTAGTTAGGTTTAAAATTTTTGTTACACTGAATATATTAAATGAAATGCGATAATTATTGCACAATTGTCATTATCAACAAGTAAAGAAATAATTATTATTAACAAAGTTATCAATACCCATGACTAAGTATTGAACTAAATGTAGATGTTACAATATTTGTTCTGTAATTATGTCAATATTGTACGTTGGTAAAGAAACGTTGTTTGTTTAAAAATTATTTTAATTACACCAGCAGAACCACGTCATACGAGGTTTATTATGTTTTTTAAATTCTCTAATCTTAACCAATATTTATACATTAAATCAATGTAATACGGAAAAATGTTCTTCCAATAGGAGAATTTTCTTTTGGACTGAATTACATAATTTAAGATTTAGGATAGTAGTTGAAAGAAGATTATAAAAAGAAGTCTAGTAAAATTACAACTTTTACTAACACATATAATACGAATAAAAAGAAATAACATTTTTAAAACTTTAAACTAAACTAATGAAGTAAATAAAGTAGTAAAATAATGAAGCAATATCATTTAAGATACAAATAAAATATTTTATATGTGCTTATAAAATAAAAAAGCAATACCTGGTTTCATATTATATAATCAAAATGCTCAAAGGTCATGTTACATTCATTATCGATGGTAATGAATGTAACATGAGTTACTTTAACCTTAAAACATAATTCTCTACTTCAACTCTATGCTTTAGGATTACATCAATTGTTTGTATATTACTTACTATTCGTATATTTTTACAAATATATAAACCGTTGTCTATTCTAACAAATATTAATAACTACAGCTCTTTAGCTTTGATTAGTTTCATCACCGCATGTTTCCGAAGGTTTGAGAGACTTTTATTGTTTGTTAATTTCGCTCGTAAGACATTTCGGGTGAGCGGGCAGTTACCTGAGGCAGTCTAATGCAATTATCGCGGACTGTTGGCGTGTCCGTCGTCTACGCTAATCATAGACAAGGAGTGGACTTTTTTCGGCCAAACCGACCGACGCAACGGCTGCAAACAGATGCAGCCTTGATGAGGCTGACCTGTGTTTTTTTTATTTTGCTGTGAAGTTGACAAAACCAATCAGATTTCTTTTGATTCTTTATTTATATTCTTACCGTGAGGCGAGTATAGCTACTTAAACATATACATGCTATACTTGATACCTGTAGTATAGTATTTATATGTTTCACATTCGTCATTATTTCGTTTCATTCGTTTTTATTTGCATTCGCATATAACGATCTACTTAACAATAAAGGATAGTCCTGAACGGTCTAATGTATTCCTTATATATCTGCTGTGAATAGTCCATGAGACAGTACTCAAAAAGATAGCCTGGCATACCGATTGGTCATTTGATTTTTTTTTTTTAAAACTTGTTGAATCTTACAGACTTAAATATCCCCGGATCCGATCTATAATTAAAATATCCCCGGATGGAATCGTACTACCATTGGTACGCGGCAGCTTTTTTCAATTGTGTAAAAATGTCGGCTATTCCAGGGAAGTACCATGGCCTTATAGAAGACGGGCATATAATAATTGGGGCCCACCTTTGTAAAGATTTGCAACCTAACGGATGCATATTTATTCATTGACTAAGAATGAAAATATTCAAGCCAGAACGGGTGGTTTACCCTGGAATGTTTTTCTGATATTAATGAATAGTGCTGGCAATAGAAGAATCACCCTACTACATTATTTTTCGCCTGCGGTATATCTTCGATACGATTAAGATACCCGGTTTTCACGTATCATGGTCGACGAGGCTTCAGATCACCAACTATCAAGAGCTCTTGCTTCCTTACCCGTTTTAAAAATATACTTGTAAATAGTGAGTAGGATACGTTGGCACAGTTGATATTGGATTCGGCGACGGGGGTCGTGGCGTCGACCCCAAAACGGGAGAAGTATTTGTTCACTAGAAGGGCTGGCTTCAGGCAGGTTGTGAGAAAACCTAGCCAACACCACAAACGACATGATTGCCGACCCCACTTGTGGGATAAGGGCAGGTAGGTGACGATCAGTAAATAAGTAGAATCATAGTTGTTGTTGACAAAGAAAGTGAAGTAGAGTAACAGCCTACAAAAGTCCCACTGGTAGACAAAGGCCTCATCTCTACAGAGGGTACCAGAGCATATATTATTTATATTATTTCGAAAATATGCAGGTTTATTCACGATGATTTCGTTCATGGCCGAGCACGTGATAGTTCAGCACTTAAAGTTAATAATTTCATTGGTGCCGGCACCGGGGATCGAACTCAGATTGCTCGAGTAGATTGAATTAAAGGCGATCGTTGTTGTTGACATCAAGTCAATATGGTTCTACATAATAATAGATAAACAGATATATGTTTCATTCAATGGAGACCGCTAACGCCTTACGCAGACTATAACATGAACAATTACAGCTGCCCGAACTCATTGACAATAAGTAAGGTATTCGAGTCGTAGAGCTCCAACTTTATACTGATTTCATTCGTGCGTCGAGTATCGTTTCACTTCAGCCGCGAACTGTTTAAGTCAAATTGACCATAAAAATTTGAACGCCACGCGACACGACGCCAGATTACATATTGCTTCGTCATACAATATGGCGGATACGCTACGACCTAAAATATACTGTGGCTGTATTGGAAAATTATAAAACATACTGTAAACATAAACCAATCCGATATTTACACATGATTATGTAATTTTATGTTAAACTAAATGTTTCGCAAATGAAGAAATGACATGATTGTCGAAAATCGTCATGTATTTATTGAACAACTTCAATTTGAACGGTTATATGAGAATTATTATAACTATTTAGTGTTGCTATTGACCGTCGACCACTGTTGCTGGCAACAGTTCTGCAAATCAAAAAACCATTCATATTGGATACGTATTTTTCATCACTGGAGAATATAAAAAATCAAAGCGTCATACAATTTCAATCAATAATGATTGTGCAGAATTTTTCGCACTTTTTTACGTGCATGAAAATTGAATTCAAAAGTTCTTCAACTGGAAGCATTACTACAGGCTGAATTACCCGACAAATATCGCTTATATTGGCATATATTTGGCTCGTAACGTATAAAATACGCCACATCTTAAATGAAAATAGTGAACCCCTAATATGATTTATGACCATTCGAAATCTTAGTTGAAAACTGGGCAGTACACACCGAACTTTCCTACGACAACACTTGATAGTCTTATATATATTTATATATATGGACCAAGTATGTAGGGTTGGCACCTTCGAACCCACAACACAATGGGACATTTACAAATAGGCTGTTAGGTTACTTAGAGCTGGTTGCGGGTTCGAGTCTCGTAAGCAAGGACTCGAAGACTACTAGTCATCATCATCCTCCTTATCGGGGATGATCACAACATGTGGCTCATGTTGTCAGTGGTTTTGGCTTTGTTACGACCGGCCGCTTGCCTGAGGTCAACCCTTTTGGGAACAAACACTCAGATGCGGAACAATTATCAGTGGGTCAGACAAATGCTTATGCGTGTGGGAATCGAACCCACAGTTCTAGACTTAGCTGCGCCATGGAGTCATCCTCTTACTAGTATTGCGCGATAGGAGTATGATCATTCGCAAACGCTGTGCGCTCGTTCTAATGGCACAGACACAGTTCAATCGTAATGAAATGAGCCGAGCGGGAGGTCGAATCGATTATTACGTGTAGGCTCGACCGAAGCAGGTCGCCGTGAAAATTAGCAACGGCCATCGATCAAGTTGCATCGGCACGTGGATAATTAGTTATAGAGATTTAATGGTCCCACGGTATGTGCGGCAACTGCACAGCGCGAAGTGAGCGGAGTCTCAAGGCGAGTGTGGTCCATCAGGCATTCATGCCCGCTTCGGTCATTGCTTGAGGCAAAATAAACAGGATTAACTATGAAATAGTTGAGCCGCAGCCCTTATATTTTGTTAACTTAGGGGAAATGCCAACGCATACTCGCCCTCGTCCTTGCCCCCAAGGACGGTTTATGTCGGACTCGCACCGATTAAAAGCATGCGGAATGCTGCGAAAGCATTGGGACACCCAATGCTTTCGCAGCATTCCGCGACCGCGGTCAGCGCCGGCCGC